GAATAACTTATTTCTGAGAGCCCAATTTGTATCTTTAAAAGATGTTTTTTACAATAAATCAAAACACATATCACCACTGGGTTTTGCTGAGTTGTAGAATATGTGGATCACTCACTGATATAAGGGTTTAAATTCCATCTCCAAATCCAGGAATGGATTGAATGGGTAAAGCATTATAGATATTGACTCGAGTATATCTTCCATTCATGACTTGGTAAGCCACAAAAAAATCATTGACTAAATGCATATACAAAAATGTAAAAATAAAAAAGAAAATCGACATATACAAATTCACTACCTAGTGGACATATCTTCCAAATCGAAACAATGGATGAGAGGTAGCGGTGCTGTTGTGTCCATCCTTTTGCTCTCCAGGTATCTACAACTTAAAAAATCAAAATCAACAATACAGATCATAAGAACAAAAATCGAAGCAGATTCAGAAAATGTAACCAATATGGATTTAAACTTAAAGCGAAATGTTTTATAGATTGGAACTTCATAGTTGAAACAGAATAAAAGAAACATAATCTAAAACGTACCCAAAATCGATCTAAACTACGATCAAATTAAAGTAGAATCCAAAGAAATTTATCTCTATATCATTCCTCCTTCTTTCATGATGATCGAACACAAGACTGATCTACACAGATCGAAGCCCACATATATTTTATTTCTTCTTTCCCTCATTTTCTTTCCCACTACAAAACTCAGGTTAGATAAATTATGTAAAGAAAAAAGGGAGAAAAGGTAGGGGTACTGGTAATGAGGGATGGTGTGTTATATTTTTTCATTGGTGGGATTTAATTGTCATTAATAAAATTCTTAACTTAATTCATTTTATTTTTGGTGAGATTTAATTGTCATTAATAGAATTCCTAATTTAATTCATTTTATTTTTGATGAGATTTAATTGTCATTAATGAACTTCCTAATTTAAAATGTAATATATGTTTTATAAAATTTGTGGACAAAAATAAAGGAGTTGAAAAAGATGATGTCATCAAATAATCTAATGATAGAAAATATAGGATTGAAATGCAATCAATGGCCCTGATTTCTTCAATTTAGAATTAAAGGTTCTCTTTTAATAATATTTAGAGATAAAAGTTACAAAAAAATAACAATTAAAACATATGATCATAAGTTCGATCAATTACTCCTTGATTAATATTCCTTCAGCCATATTCATATATAACACCTCGATACATATATCCAGCACTAAATTAATTTACTTGTCATCATCATCAACGGGTTTGGTGGTGGTGGTTTCGGTGGTGGTTGTATTGCCGTCAGCGTCAGTTTGGGTGGTGGTGGTGTGGGTTGTCTCATATTTATGAAGGTATTCCTCCGCCTGGTCCATATACTTCCCCAATCCTTGCTTCTGATCTACAATTCCATAGCTCGCCGCTGCATCCAGGATGTCAGCAGCAGCTCCGGCTATCTTGCCCGTGTCAGTCTCCTGGCCTGCCACAGCTTCAGACATCACCTTGGCGCTCGCCATAAGCTCAGAATTGGATGGGTGATCGCTGGAGTCCTTGTCAGCAGTTGTCTCGTTCTCCATGGTTTGTTTAGGGTTGTTACCTTTGAGAAAATTTGGATGAAAACGAGTGGGTGAATAAATAGGTGGTCTATTTCAGAATTTGACCCTAGGTAGTGGTCAAAGCGTAAGTTGAGCTTTGTTGGATACGTGTTGATGAGGGTGAATGAGCGGTGATCAAATTATTGCCAAAAATGGATGTGACTTGACTCGGAACAAAAAAATATTGACCGCTAACTTTAATGTATTTATATTTAACGACATGCATGGCTTTAGTGGACTAATATATTCCTTAATTCTTATGAAAGTATTCTTCAATTGACCATGGATCTCTAACTTAGCATAAGTGATTTGGTCATTTTATGAATTGTGATCCGAAAAAGTAATTGCAAAAAGTGAGTTAGGTTGCTAATCATTTTGTCTCTCAAATGTGTAGTTTTAGTTTAGCTGACTTACATAAAGTCAAGGCTAGTTTTAAGAAAAGGTCAAGTCTTATTATCAGTGGCGAGTCTAGAGCAAGAAACAACGTGGTTACCTACTTAAGTGAAACCGATAAAAATAAAATAATAAATATTATTTGTATTGGGTCAGGTCGTATATCTTAAAAAACCGAACTGGCTAGTTCAGACGGTTAAACCTGAAACCGATTAGGTCACCAATTCAAAACTTTAAAAAACCGGTTTCAATTAAATAGGAAGAAACCGTTCAGTTTAGTGAAAAGCCGATTGAACCGAGAGGTTATACCGGTAAAAAACCGATTTTTTTAATATATAATTTTTACAACTTAAACTTGTGCTCGATATTGCTAGTAAACCAATTGACTCAATGTTGGTAAACAAATATTAACTTAGTTGTACACCATTTTTTGCTTAACACTAATGACTAATAACGCGGAAATCACTTGCTTTATATAAGAAGCTATATTGAAAATTATTTTCTTGTTGCGTCGACGTGGTAATCTTTCAAAGGTAGGCCCTAAATTTTTTTCAAGGTAAGTCCTGAAATAATTACCATATAAATTGTACCCACCTTGAATGTTATTAGCCTCGTCCTTGGTTATTATGAAAATAAGGTAAAAGTGAGTTAGGTTGCTAATCTTATCTTTTAGACCTACACAAGCTGCTTAACCACATTCTAGTTTCTCTCTTTTTGTCCACGATTATAATCAACAAGGAGTTTCAAACATGGGCGGAGCCACATGAGAGCCAGGGGTGGCCCAGGCCCACCCTCAAATTCTCAATTTTTTTTAAGCATGAGTTCATATACATCATTTTATGCAATTATAAACGTAAAAGAGCTCAACTGTTACAAGCATCACATCGGCCTCCAATATACCTATGTTCGAGCCTAATTGTTAATAATTTTTTGAACATGGGATGCATTTAACTCAACTGTCATTTAAATCATAATTTCAAGTTATAGTTGTAGCCACCTATTTGTACTCTCATTTTCACAATTTAACTCATCTTTTAATTTCTTTAACAAATTAGTTTTAGAAATTTATATATTATACCCCTCAATTTTTATAAAACTTTATTTTTTTTATTTTAATTAATTTAGTTACGTTTTTAGCTTTGTCATGTTACAACTCACTCCCTTGAATTTATTTTG